TAAATTCACATCGCACGTTACGAGCGCATGTGCAACGCAAATAGAAATTGCGCGTAAGCGCAAACGTGCTTGCCTCTGTGATTGTCACTGGGCTCTTGTTGAAACGCCCTACGGTAGGCCCTTTGTGAACATGTGTGCAGGGTTGCTTTCCCGCAGGTGCAATCCTGCAAGCCTAAATTAACATTCCTGCAACCGTCTCGGCGGAATTGTGTTTGGACGGAAGGTTGATTAATCATTATCATATCTTAGGTAAAGAGAGCGACGCGTGAATCATTGGCTCGTAAAATCGCGAACTAATCGAGTCGTAACAGTTAATACGTTTTCTTAATTTTTTCGACGCGATAAAAAATGTACAATGCACGTAGCATTGTAATATACAGCGTATATTAAACAGAAACTTGCTAGCATTTTTTTGACATTTATTTGTCTAGTAAATATCTAATTTTATGTCTAAATAGACTTATTTTATATCTAATCTTTTTACATTTGAATAACAAGTTAACAAGACGAGAAACATGTCAATGTATCTGGATTTAATATTATTTATAGTCGCCCGATGTTATTATTTCTGTGGACAGGGCGGTTGATACAAATTAAGCAAATTAAATTCGGGAATGACGGATGAATGCATGCAAACACAAGCGTAATTGAATTCTTGCAAGTACATTTTCCACCTGTATTTCTGTAGCGCATTTTCATCAAAAACTGATTAGCATCCCTCCGATCGACCAAGATTAACCCTCGAACCACCCTAGGAAACGGAGGTAGGTGCCCTCTGACGTAGAAAGGGAGAAATCTCTGCTGCTCGATTCGGTTTCCAGGCGGGGCATGCGCCGACTGTACGTCAGGCATCTGCCCTATCGATCGTGTGTGCGACAGGGGTAACAGGAGACTCCAGAAGATCGGTTCGGGGAAGAGCCCGGGCTGCACGACTCCCCGAGTCCCGTGGCCTCGTGTGAACGGGCCCTAACGCGCGCGTGTGTGCGTGTCGCGTGTATGTGGGGCTCCTGCGGCTAGGCAACCCAACTTACATGAGATTACGCCGAGCCAATAGCACGGCAGGAGCGCCCGTCAAAGGCATATCTCAATGTGTGGTATGAGCCGAGTCTCTAAAAGGGGATTAGAGCTCCTCGTATTCCAGAATATGCGGCCGCACACGCGCGCCTCGGCAGACACGTATCCACGTCGAATATACGCGCGAATACACGGACGTGCGTTTGCGTCTGCGTGTGTGGGCGTGTGCGCAAACGTAAACGCGTACGTAAGGGTGTGCGAGGCTCATCGAACACCGCGCAGGAAGTCTCCGCGAAAGAACGGATTCTCGAAGACGCGATCAAAGAAAAGAGCGAGGGGCCACACACATAGGTGAATAAACGGACGGATAAAATCGAGAGGGGGGGGGTGAGAAGATACGTTTCGCGAGATACGTCGAGCGCACTCGCGACCCGGTATGTTTTTGACAAGGAGCATTACGTGGATTTAAAGGACGCATTCGCGATTTGACATGTTGCACCGATCTGTTCGTGGATCCACGTGAATTTCAAGAATCAAAAGAACAGGAGCGCGCTTTAAAAAAATTATAGAATTTAAAGTTGCCGTCAAAAATCAATAAGGAATGTACGTTAATCGGAAGAAAGATATTGTATAATCTGAGATTGCGATTTACATGACAACAGGATTATGAATAATATTGTGTGCCATATTGAAAATCATTCTTTGTTATAAATTATTTGTTTTTTATTCTAAAACTAATTTCATCTTTATATGTTTATCAATGATAAAATTTCACATTTCACAATTATTAATTGTTTTCGATGTATCATGACAAAAATTGTCTAAAAGATCATGACAACAAGCGAGACGTCGAACTACAATAACATTTATCAATTGCCAATCAATCACGCCAGTTGATACGGCATTTCTGAAATCCAATTAGGAATGTCATTTCCGATTTACTGAACGGAACCTACTTTACGCTATTACGAGGAAGATTCGATCGTTCATTCGAGGCTTATCCCTTCCGCGTCGCGCCCGATGCGATAGCGGGAGAAAACTTTTCGCGGCGTTTCGCCGCGAACGAAAGTTTAACCGTCGAACGAAACTCCGACGATGAAATAGTGCAACGGTGTGGGGGGCTGGTTTTCAAAGTCGCCGTTGACTTTCACCGTCGCCAATTATACGAGTGCGGCGTTTTGCGGCGCTTTCGATTTTTGCCGTGTGGTCTGCGAAGTCGCGCGTCCGATACACCTTAATTTGAATAAATTTCCGAAGGAAAGTGCTCGCGGCTTTCCACCTCGGTCTAGCCCCTTTCCCACCCATCGCCCTCGAGCCTCATTCAACCACCTCCCTTCCAACTCTCTCCGCGGCGGCGGTGCCGTAAATCGCGAGTTCACTTTCCGCACTTTTCACCTAGTTGGCGCGCCGCCAGAACGACGGTAAAGGGGTGAGATGCCTGAAAAAAAGCTGCGAGGGGGAGGTGGAGATCGCGAGGAGGGAGAATACCGAGCCGTGGAACTTTACCTTACGGGGGTGCGAAACTTCCCCTTTAAGACGCAACGGCCCACAAACCGCCGCCGTCGGCGCCAGCGACATTTTACTACATTACTTCATGCTTATCCCCGGTATTACTTCGCTCGTCTCCACCGACTCTGTTTTTAACCAACTTCGCGAACAAATTGCCACGTTTTGCGGAATAAATCCAAGGTTTGTAACGTGAACAATTGTGGCGTGAAAGATTATAAGACAACGTGTATCAAAATTAATCCTTCAGGCATGTAGAACTCTCTTTATCACGATCTTATCTCAAATGCGAAAAATAATAATCGTCTTAAAGAGACGATTATTTAACTACTTTTTTTTAATGTCCTGTATAATGAGATATAATATTAATACTGTCAGTGCAATTAAAATTGTATTGCTGAAAAGCTTGATAAATATTATAAACAATACGTATATATAATAATATTTTTAATATAATAAAATAATATACATTTTACAACATATTAAAACAAATTGAAACATATACAATTACAGTTGCGCATGAATGATCAGTCGATGATCCATTTAAAGTGCTCTTCCCCCCTCTCTCTCTCTTTCTTGGGCACACATATAGCAAATATCAAAAATATCGAACGAATTCCGCACGTGCGGTCACGGGTGGCACGGGGGGAGATCATCCCGATGTCCAGTTCGTCTAGTGCCGGACCTGCGCGTTTCGCGTGGCAAGATCATACGGTGAAGACCCGGGATCCGATTGGGCCACCGGGTTTCGCCGGGGCGGGTTCTAAGCCGGTTTAGGGGCAGTTTGTGCGTGGAGCCACCCTCCCATACCACTCTGGCCATAGGGGATATGCGGCACTGCCGCGGTCGTACCGACCTACGGTCTTGTCACGTGCTGGACAAGACGCGATAGCTCCCTCGTCATACTCGGCACGTGCTGGACGCGTGCTGTCAGGTGACAGCGAAGATTTATGACGAACGGTGTACGAGAGACATTGGTCAATTTTCGTAATTATTAGGGTCGAAGGAAATTCTCTCATTGCTCGATGCACGAGAATGAGCGAGCCGGATTCCGCTTTTTCTCTGAATTATAAGTTCTTCAACGAGAACTCATCTTTAAAAATTTCGTAGTGTCTATGATATATATTGTACCGTTTATTTTTATTATTATATCTGCACGAGAGAGAGAGAGAGAGAGAGAGAGAGAGAGACGCGTAACATATTATATACATTTGTCATTGTAAAAAAGTTCTGCTAAATAGAAGACATACTATAAATAACTAATTCATTTCTCAATGAATTATACAATACATCATTCCTACATATATACGTCGATTTAATTTCATATGTATCTTCTAGCTGTGCATGTGACATGAAGTTGACACATCAGTCTTCGACTATATCTTGATTAATCCTTTACGAATCCACTTACCCTTGATCCCGAAATTCGTCCGTTAATTTCATTTCGCTTTGCTCAAACATTTGCAAACCACTCGGGACGCAGAGCACTCGAACGCACAAGTCCAGTGTCGTGTCCGCACGATGGACGAATCACGCGCGCGAAAACACACCACTACGTTTTGCCTCGCGGGTGGCGAGGAGGGAAACGGCGGATCGGGGGTTGGTTATGTGACACACGAGCCACCCCTGCGAATGGCCGAGCGGAGCCCGGCCGCCAAACAATCGATATATGCGTTCAAAATGGCCGCCAGGAACGCCACCCACCCTACTTCAAATCTCCCTTCGCCCCGTCCCACGTATACCCCTTGCCACCTCCTCCCCCCTTTCAGCCACAGTCCTCACCCCCGTCGAGCTCTCTACATCCCTCTCACGTATGCCCCCGAAGCTCTTTAACTTCGAAACCCAGCCACTGACTGCCAACCAGCCAATACTACCCTCATCGTCCCGCGAGGGTGTTTCGTTCTCTCTTTCTCTCTCTCCCCTTTTCTTTCCTCTCTTCAATTTATCCTCTTTATCCGTCTTTCGACTCCTTTCTTTTATCTTTCTTGCTTTTTCATTTCTCTCGATCCTCTTTTTTTTTCTCGGATATCTGTTCTGTTCGTCTCCAATGAATGAGCTTGGTTTCTACCCTCAAAAATGACGCCCTCGTAGATAGGTAAAGCCTGTAAAATTTATTGCCGCGCGCAAAGTGTTGCGACTATCGCGCAAGCCGTGCATGAATCGTGATGAAAAACGAGGGGCCAAGAAGCAGCCTGGGCCCGTAATCCAATTTGGATGCACGAGAGCGAGTTTAGATTCTTCGTCTTACCGATGTGCCTTGAGACTAGAAATATGCCCCTGTACGTTACATATAATTTCTTTGTTACATATTTTAACGAAATTGGAACCAGTGACTATCTCTAATTGTATAACGAAACGTTCCTTTTGTGAGTTTAATTTGGATGTTAATTGCGATATAATATAGCGAATGGTCGAGTGATTAAAAATGATAAGTGATAACGCACGTTAAAGAAACTTTTGGATTTGTTTTTTAGCGCTGGAGTATATATGGACTCCTCGAGGCGGAGGTCTCATCTGACGTACTTCAAGTTCCGAAGAAAATGGAAGGAGACGATAGAGCGGCGACGAAAAAGCGAGGCGGGAAAAGGAAGGAGGAAACTAGTGAGTTTATTAAAATATAATAGCGTTATCAGGACGGCCGCGAGAGAGTGAAGGGAAAGGCGTCAACTTTAAGAGGGAAGTTTTCTTAAGTGTTCTTAATTAGAAGGGACCTGTTGCTTCGGAAAAAACCAGGTCACGGCCGTAGACACGCCGACGACGACGACGACGACGCCCCTACCCTGCCCCCGTCTCATCTCCGCGACGCTCGCCACCCCCCGGCAACCCCCTGGCTCGCCCCGACGCCCCAGACTCGTAACAGTCATTATTTTCTTCTTATTCTTCTCGTTCGCGCTCCTTCTCACCTTTCTTCGTCATCGTCAATCTTCCCTTGTTCTTCTTACCCTCTTCTTCTCCTTCCCCTACTATACGCCATCTTCTCTTTTTCCGCATTTACTTCTTACCCTCGGGTACTACAATGCTCCATAGAATATTTAGCAGGTCGCACCTCTTGCTGAACGTAGTCGCTTTAAAAGAACGTCACCGCGACTGAGCGAGTACTCGAGCGTGGTAACGAACACGGTAATATTCACGTACCGGGTGCCCCGAGAATTCTCGTAACCGCGAACGGTTACTTCGATTCTGGAGCGATTGGTTGACGAATTCTGTTGATGCTCACCCCGAAGTTAAACCCTGTCGCGATCCTTCTTATTCTTTCCTTCCGATATACCCGTTTGAGTTTTCTAAAAATTGATATCCTCGGATCCCTCCTTGAATGATAGTCTATTTGATTTATTGAAGTAATCTGTTTACATTGTTTCGGTACATTTCACTCGAGTATTTTCTTGTTCGCGAGCTCTGGAATGTAGAATGCCGTAAATGATGATAGTACAGATATAATTTCACGAAAGACATAATAGATCTATGTTTGTAATTAATTAATATCTTTTAAGGGAAAGAATCAGGGTTAATACTATTACTTTCAGAGATGTGGCAACTGCTTTAAGCAGATATCAGATGCAACTTTTAATGTGTCAGGGGTTTAAACGTTCTATATTTCAGAAGAAAAATGTATAAACATTCTCAATGTAAAATGTAGTATTATCATACTATAGAGTGAAAAGCAAGAAATGTAAAACCGTCTAGCCAATCGTCGAATCTTACCAATTAGGTCGCTATAGTTTCCCCATAACGCATTTCAATAAAAATCGGCGCGCCCATTGTATCTTTTGCTTCAAGACTCTTGTTCGCGTCGAAGGACCTTGTAACGCGACACCGTCTCTTTTCTCGAGATCTAGATCTTCCGGCGAAGGAAAACGCCGCCCGAAATATCGACGACGAACAGTTACCACGTGCGGATGCGCGCATCTGTCGGCGCGGTTTCCGTTCCAGATCTAGACCGCGAGTATCGACGGCCGAAGGAGGAAAAAACGAGCGAGATGCAAATTCTTTTTTTCCCCGTGCCCTTGCCAACCCCCAGTAACTCGCACCGGTTACGTGTAACGGTTTTCGTTGCGGAAAAAAAACGCGAGGAGAAGAGAACGAGGGAAAGAGAGAGAAGATAAGAGTACAGGAGAAGGGCGGGCAAGGAAGGGTTGAAGGAAGAGGAACCTCCGTCAAATAAATTTGAATATCGATGCCCATTGAATCCGATCGAAGGGGTTCGGCAGAAGTCTCCTTTCACATTGCGAAAGGGTTGCAATTTGAATATTCTCGCCGGGGTAACTAGGACGTATCGTACGGGGTACCGGAGCGAGGGGGGAGGCACCCGGGACGGGCACGTAGCGACCTCCCCCTTGCTTTTTTCTCTATTTGTATACTTCGCGTAAGGCATTGTATCCGCGAGGAAAACCTAACACCCAGCCACCAGCCCCGAGGCCATTCTGTTCCATTATTAAAGTAATCAGCGTCATTGTGACGGGCGTTCGGTTTTGACTAATATAGAATATCGGCGGAGGGATCGAGTCCCGATCGGCAGGTAACCCCGTTCCGAGGTTAAATCAACTTCTCGCGAGAGAAACAGTTTCCACGACTCCGTACGCTTTGCTATCGCAACGGGAGATTGAAGATCGAAGTCTTTTCTCGTACGTTATCGCACCTCTCCGACGGTTGTATCTTCAGTAATATAATAAATATATAGAACTAACTATATTCCGTATAGTAAAATTAGTCGAGATGTGGAGAATATGCATTTTGGAATTAAAATTTTTCGTGAAAAAGTTTTGTAACGTGTAATTTTCATAATTAATAAATATGTTTTTGCAAAGTGACAATATTCAGTGGTCTCAAGTAGACGAACATTGTTGTAGTCACAATTAAATTTAATAAACTTGAAGCATGCAAATCCCATGACTAAATGTGAAATCAAATTCAAACCTTGATACCAGTCATTGAATAAGCTGACGACTTCGGACGGCAAACCGGCTTAACTTTTCATTTGCCGTTACGCAAAAATAACAGAGAACGCACAACGAAGAGGACGAAGGGGATATTAAAAATTACGACGGGCTGCGCATTTGTGAGCGCGGCCGGCGCCGCGCGGCGGCCGTCGGGGCCGGAATTAAAAGCGGCGAGAAAGCCGAGTGTCCTGAAGTACCCTCGACGCGATGCAGACTATCTCCAAATCGCGAGGCCCATCGAGTGCCCTCGAAGATAAAAATCAAATTCTATGCGTAGCGGCAGAGGTGCGAAGCCCGTGCATGCATGGGTGACCGCATTGTCGGTCCCGGTGACGTCTTAACTAAGTCCCACGTACGTACGTACGTACATGGGAAAGGGTCGCCCGTCACCTAGGCCAAGGCCCAGATACTCTATCGGTCAGAGATTGCGATTCCTCACATCTGCCGCGAGAATGGACGTCCACGGACGGAATTAGAACAGATCCTTGTCAGCGAACGGCTTTAATACAATTCAAACGTCACGTCAGAACGTACGAATGAAATGTAACATTGGCGAACCCTCAATGAAACTACATAATTGATACATTAATCACATACAAGTAAATGTAACATTTTATTTAAATGTAGCATTCCTAATCTTTTTCTATCACTCATTATGTAATTACTTAGGCAAGTTATTTGATGAAGGAATTATATTAATGCAAATTTCTAAAAATTTTACCGTACATGATAAGTGTACAATTGTTAACAGAAATTGATTTTTGATATTTTAAGAGAAAATTGAAATCTTAATGCGTATTAATAACATTAATCTCTTTTGATAACAACGTATCGAGTAAAAACAGTTTGGAAAAAGATTTATATAATTTAATTAATATGGTGAAATCTTTTATGAAAATTGAGCGGATAACAGGTAGAACATATAATTACTTTATTTTTGGTTATTCAGCATGGTATATTTTTTTCTATCGTATCATATAATATTTCAAAATATCCGGAAACTTTGAAATTATTTGTACACTTTATGTACTTTGCATACCTTCAATTATCTTGTTAGGAAATCGGGGGAATCCACTACCGCTATTCGGTCGATGATCGCAAAAGAGGAGTATCGAATCGTATTTTTTACGGCGGATAAATAGCTGTGGCGATTCGAGAGATCGATGTTTTGGACGAATCATTAATTATCGACACATGTATTCGGAGATGTGCGGATATGTCCGTATGAAAATCGCATTACGATAAGCAATAGTTGTCAGAATGACTGCCTCGGGGTTTATATAGGGCCTCTCTTCTTCCCTTCCTATTTCTTTCTCTCTCTCTTTCTTTTTCCGTATGGCTAAAAAAAACTTTCAGGTAGCTCGTTTCCAGTATATACGTACACGGGGGGGCCCCATCTGGGCCCCGTGTGTGTACACTTGCACGCATACACGCGTGGCGTTAATGTGAGCGTGCGTACGCGCTGGTATCAGGGTAGGAGACGCACATGGGACCCTATGGAATATGCATGCGTTTTGTATTCAGGAATATGTTAACCCTTTCGCTTAGTCTTTCGATTGGCGTCGCGGAGGCAACACCTCGACGATGGAGCGACGGTGTTCCAGACTGAGACTGTCGTATCTCTTCAGGTGAGATTTTACGTTCTCTACTTTCGGTCCGCGACAAACGTTACATTTTGCGTTACTCACGCGCGTTACTGTCTAGCGCGACATTACGAGATCGTTCGCGATGACGGAATATTCGCGTGTCTGAGATAACACCGACGAATTGTGTTACACGGGTTGACATTGAACTTTTCGTTCGTTTAACAAATTTTACAGATATTGAAGATATTGTTTAGGATAGTAATTGAAATATTTTTAATATTGAATTACGATAAACTACGAAAATATATAAAACCATAATTATGTGAATACAATGTCGTGGTCGTAAATCTTAATACAGTGTGTAACGGAATCTATATATATGTATATAAGTTGTGTCATATTTTTCAAATTTATCTTCTTGTGCAGTAAAGATTAAACATGATACGTTTAAAAAAATATATAATAGCTTTACATTCAATTAGTGGTTACATTTGTTTTATAAACAAAAGTTTTTCATCAACTAGTAATATTAGAATAATCTGTTAGATAAATTCTAGCGAGGAAATATGTTTATTCTCTTCCATAAGAAGAAATCAATTTGATTCGTTTGTTGTATCTCTGCAAATGTTTATATATTGACACGCCAGGAAGTGCTTTCAGCAATAGCTTTCAGCAATGGCGAGTATGCGCGCGATACGCGTCACGAAAGATGGAAGTAATGCAAAAGTAATATCACGCTCGGAGAGCATCGCGCATGTATAATAGCTGCCTTAAAAATATACGTCCATCGACGCGAAATGGCGCGGTAAAACCTCTCATTGAATTACCGGTCGTTAAGCAATACTCGAATTCTTGCGCTGCGATAAACCGCTTTATTTGGACTCGATGCAAATAAAATTATCGTGAGCTTTGCCTCGTAAAAAGGATGCAATTGCAATGATATCAAACATTCTGAAGTTTCCGGCTGAATCGTTCGACATTAATACAATTACGATGTCGCTAATAAAATGCAATTTTAAATGAGATCCTTAAGATATTCCTCGTTTGCATTTGCCTCGATGTATAAACTAATTTAATG